TGATTAATGTACTCGTCCTGATCCATGATCACATCCCCTTGTTCATTCTTCGTGTAGCAAACGGCGCAGTTCGTGTAAGAATGTTTGTTGGGCTTGCATTTACCAAACACCTTCTCGACACGTTGTACATAGTCATCTACGTGTTTCTCTAGGCCTGTCATATTGATGTCGTCGACATGTTTTGCCGTTAACAGATCCTGACTGAATTCAAACTCAGGATCGTAACTTGTCGGCGTGAGGCCTACAGCTCGTGTAGTCGTACGAAGCTCGAGGGAGAACGCTCTTGGGGCGTCCTTTGCACCCGTTCCTGGCTTGAGGCACCTGAGGCAGCGTCGCCTTTCATCGTAAGAAGAGAAGCCTGGTAGTGTACGAAGCACCTGGGCACTGCCTGGTGGAAGGGCGAAGCAAACCATGCGAGTTTCCTCGCCGGTGGCATGGGCAAGTTCCTCATAGGTCAGTCCTTCGAGGAACGCTTTGTCGATGTCCATGGATGCTAAGATCCATTATGGATGATATGCCGCCTCACTTGCCAGGGGCCTCTGGGACTGCATTCGGGCAGTTCCTGAGAAAGCTCCTACATCGAGCGCCTCCGTGTCCATGGATCCGCGAAGGACAAGTCTGAGACGGATGGTCTTAACATTCTCGGTGCCTACCTGCACAAACTTCCACTTATCTACATATCTGGATGTCATGCTATTGGAAGCTTTAGATAGGTCATACATCTCAAAGCATCGGTTGTCAAGCCAGATCTGGAGTTCGGTGTACAAGGCTTCACTAACCTCTGTAGGATGTGCTGCTATATCGGCTTTGGTGAGTAGGTCGTCTTCCTTGACTACCACAGCACTTTTAGCAGCCGATGATACATATACTCCCATCGTTGCGACCATGTCTGTTTCAAGCTGTGCAAGTTGGGTCTGAACCAACACTACCTTTGACACTTCTGGCGTGAAACATAGCCCATCATAGGGGCCATGTTCATCACTGTCAAGAGAATAGCCCTCGTCAGGTGTAGTCGACCATAGAGAGATAAGACAGGGCTCTTGTAAATCAGGCTCGTCTCCGAGCATCTCCGACACTACGGTATCTTCCTCGTCCACGGATGCTGAGACCAAGACACATTGGTCGGGCAGCATGGTTGTTGGGACGCAGTAGAGATGGTCGTCGATAGCCGTTGTGGGATGAAGGCCCATGCGTAACTCATCGTACCACTGGGGGCCGGCTTCTCCGACTGGTCTCGGATGGCATTGGCGAGTGCTGACAAGATCTCGGTACTTAGTGCGGTACTATGATCATCCCCATCCTTGTCTTGCCATGCCCCGCCAGGCGGCGTGGCCGCTGGCGCATGACCCTTGCCTCCACCAGACGGCTGGGCCGTTGGCGGTCTCGCTGGCCCCGCCCCGGTGGAAGGATGATAGTTAATAAAGGTCACGTCGACAGTAATACCTGTCAACTCCGCATTGATGGGCACATTGCCCCCGGAGATGCCAGGCTCGGCCTGGCCGTCGGTTGCAGGGCCAGGGGCAATATAATGAGGTTGCACGATTGGCCTCGCGGGCGCCCCCTGTGAAAGCTGGGGCATGTCGAACAGACTGAACCTGGGCAACTTATCCAGTTCTTTCTCGATATATTGAAAGGATTTCATCCCCATAGTTCTCGCCATCCCTTTCGCCCTTTCGATCATGGCCGCTTCGCGGTCGGCAGATTGCAACTGAGGCTGCACATGTCGCCCTTTTTCTTTCAAGGATTCAGTGATGACAGCCTTGAGCTCCATCATTTCGTTCTCTGACGCAGCTGCGCGCGCCGGCGCCTCATCTTTCTCTCGGGGGTTGGCAGCTGACCTTTCTGAGCCCAGTCGAAGCTGTTCCTCAGCTTGCTCCTTCATCCGCTGCGTGAAGTTTATCCGCGTGGAAATCATCCACGAGTTTCTGCCGTTGGGCCCGAGAGTTGGGATCAGCGCTACGTCGCTGCCATTGCCCATCCCATTCCGCCTGTTCCACGGGCAAACTCTTTCGTTGAGTGCAAGTGACGCAACGTCTGGTGATCGCGTCAAAGTGGCCATTACAGCTTGGCAGTCAGAAAGTAGCGCATGTTCCGATCTTCGGACTCGAGCATATTGAACAATTCTCTGCAGTTGCCTTTTTCGCGGGCTGCGGCTGCTGAGCAGCTCTCACTCGCAACATTGGCGGCATTCCGCCTTCCAGGGGCGCCGAGCCAGGCTGGGCCTGCGACGACGTCGCGCCAGAGGGCCGGCGGCGACGGTCGTCTGCTCGCCCCCGCCGGCTTAGCCGGTAGGCACATTTCGTCACCTAATTGCACTCGCTGAAGAGATGCTCTAACATTTTCATGTAACTTGAGCTCTTCTCGATACTGATTATTCTGATCAACTATCGTCGCAGCTACAGTCTGTGCATTGGCCACTTCCAGCCTGGCAGCATTAAGTTCTGCCCTGGCTATCGCCGCCCTCCCCCCTTCTATTCTCGTAACCGCAACAGCGGCGCAGGCGGGCGTGGCATCTACAGATTGACTGCTTGCCGCCATGGCAGCCTGTCGTGTTCAGAAGATATCGCCTCAACAATTCTGTTCTCGGCTTCTTCTCCCGCACGCCGCTGGGCAGCCGCGGTCTGATGGGGCATTTGTTCCATCAACTCTTGTTCCCGCCTACTGGCAGCTTGGGCCAGGGCTACTCTATCAGCCTCGAACTTCTTCCGGACATTTTCAATAATTGCGTTCATTTCTTCTCGATCCAGTCGAGCCCGCTCGGCCCTCTGAGCCTCCACGACCATGATTTCTTGCTGTCTCTTGGCCTCGACGAGTCTGGCCTGGCCCTGCATGGCTCGGATGAGAAGGCACTGGCAGTTATGTTCTCCCATCTGAAAGCAATCCTCACACAACCATTGATTGCCGCAATTAGGACACACGTCAGAACAGTTTCACCACGCTGGACGCTTACAGGGTCCGCCATGTTTGCGAGCTTTCCCCGGGCACCTGTTCTCCGCCTGGGGCGGGCAGTCGGGGCCTCGGTTCCAGCATGCCTCACGCATGGATACTGCACTGTTACTCCTCGAAGTCGATCGGGCACCAGATCGTGGCATCTTGGGCCTTCCCCTGCTCGAAGCAGACGATCGAGGGCGAACGCGCGTGCTCTCCGGAGGCTTGGCCACCTCTCGAAGCTCCTCATCCCGTTCAACCTGTTTAACCAACTCAGTGAGCGTTGGTGGGGGGTGAACATCTCATCGCCCTCAACTACTGCGGGCACTGACGGTTGCCAATCGCCTGGGGCGACGGCGGTTCGATAGAACCCTTCCTGAAGCGGGGAATCATTCAAATCATAATATTCGTTCCTTTGCTTCTTCTGTTGAGGAGCCGGCGTTCGACCCGTGGTCTCCCGGTCATGCTTCACATGAAATTGGGAACTCATTTCGACCTCAGCCGCCTGGGGCGGCAGATCACTGATCGTGGTGTCTAAATCTGGTTTTGCGAGCGCCTTCCAAGGGCTTCCAGGTGATCGTAGTCCACGGTTTCTTGCCCAGGGGATGACCTTCCGTCTGGGACGGGGTGGTCAGCAGCGCTCATTAGCGACAAATCCCGGCTTGGTGATACATGATAATTGGCATACTCTATGTCTGCCTCCATGGAGTTGATATCGTCTTCGTCATCAAGCTGTTCGTCGCTGGCTTGACCGGGTTGCCCGTTCAAGGCTATCGGGATGGGGTGGGTCCCATGCGTACGACCCCATCCGTCAGGGACGGAAGGGGAACACACCGCCGGACTCCTTCACGTCTTGCGACCCACTGGCTGGGCCAGCGGCCGGCTCGACAGAACTCACGGCACCCGGGCTGGAATGTATTGTTTCCGAAGATTCAGCAGTCCAAAATGAAAAAGCTTTTCGCCTGGCATTTGCGGCTGTGCCGTCCCGCCTTATCGGGTCTGGGGTCTGTTCACGATTCCTGATCGGAATACGAGTGAGAGAATCATTTCCTGACAAATCTATGACTTCTCCCGCGCCCCTTCCACGAGAAATCCGAGTGGGATTAGAAGAAAAGAGAGAGCGGCCCTCCCACGGGCCGCTGTCCTGATTTTTTTGCCCGTCTTGATACACAACGTGTGACCCAGCGGGCAATTCGGCTGTCTCATCATGGCGCATCCTTATTGCGACTTGGTCGCGGGTTTCGGCTGATAATCACTCTTTCCTCTGAGAATCGGGGTAAGATGCCAAAGGAACTAAAGTCTCATGTGGACTATGCTCAGTGGTAGAGGATACGGGATGAGACATCGATGAAACTGTAGGTTATCCGTTAAGCAACTGTACTCAAGTATAGGAAGTGAGGAGGCCGGACAAGGACGGACGACGACACGGGCCGCCTACGCGCCCCCCGGCGCGCTCCTTTTCACACTCGAGCAGTATGATACAACTTCGGCACGCAATGATATCAACGTCAAGGTATGGCAAGGCAGGCAGCAGGAGAGGCAAATGTATAATGAGGCGGAGAGGAGCATATTTACTAGAGGAGAGCCACCCAAACGCGGAAGACTTCCGCGTCGAGTGGGCCGGTGCGGCCAGCCGTGGCAGCGGTGGCCGTGGCAGCCGAGCCGCGGCGAGGGCGCACCCCCCCCCCCCCACACACACACACACACTTGTTCCTCCAGCGGCGAGGTGACGTCACCGTCACGGATTGCCAAGCCGGCTCGCGCTTCGGCGACTCTCCACCTGGCGTAGCAAATTGGTGGACTGGGCGTGGCAGTCGCGTGCAGTAAAAAACGAGGCGTGCATGCACGTGGAAAAGGCCACACGCGAGCGCACACACACACACACACACACACACACACACACACACACACACACACACATACCGATCCAGGTCCAAGGATCGGCTTGGCCACGGCCAGTGTATAATGTACAGCTGGCACCCTCCGATCCCTCCCCCCGCGCTGCCCACGCCTCTGGCAGGGCATGAGTACGGCATCTCTGCGGCATGCTCGCTGGCCAGCGCGGGCGGGGCCTCATGCTGTTGTCCACGTCCTTTCCCACGCTCACTATATCCGCGACGTCCACGTCTATCCTGCCAACGGCCGCCTCTTTCAAGGACGGGGAGGAGACGGCGGAGGAAGGTTCGCCTTCTCATGCTCCTGTCCTGCTCCCGGCCACGCCTCAAACACCCCACACCCCTCCCGGCCCTCATCACACCTCCCTTCGCGCTCCTTTCGCCTGTGGCCAAGCACCACCTCGCCTGGGCGTTCCCAGTGGTCCCTGGCGAAGTGAGGTCACGATCCCCTCACCCAGGTAGATCGGCCGCGCAGCTCGTGTTGTCTTGTTTGCGGCCCACATCAGCACGCATGTACAAAGCCTCGCGTGCACAACAAGAAAAACACTGCTCTTGGAAGCGGTTGAGGGGCTCTGCGCCGGATGAGCCTCGAGAAGATCGGCCAAGAGGGGGGGCGAGGGCAAATCCGCTCAAAATCAACCCTCGTACTTAGCCCGCGGTCGAGACTGCTCCAATTTCGGGCCGCGTCCAGCCGTGGCGACGAGACAGCGGTGGACCACCTCAGCCCCCCAGTCGGCACCCAAGTCAGCGGCCGTCAAAGGAGCCGAAGACCCACGCGCGCCACGGAGCCCAAGGCGCCAAGTGCGCCTCTTCCGTCTCCTCCTCCCCCGCCCCTCCTCCTTCTCCGCCCCCGATGTCCTGGCTCGTTCGCCTTCCGACATCATGCAGAGGACATGCAGGAACAAACGTCACAACAGTTCGCCTGGGATGGGCGACAGAGGCGGCAGCCTTTGGGTTAAGATCCCACCCGCCCCAGAGAGGAACAAAAACGAAAAACAGGCTGAACCGCGGCCCCGCACTCGCCCCACCCCAGGGCAGGCGACCACCAGGGATAGGCGTACGAGTTGAGTCCGAAGCGCCAATATTTGGCAACGCTCCCGCCCCCAATACAGGGATTCCGTTCCTCCCTCCTTTCCTCCACTCCACGCCATCCTGGATGCCAGCCCCCATCAGGAATCGCACAATTATGCAAGTCCCACTCCTTCCTCCTCCCTCCTCCCCATCCTCCTCCTCCTCCTCCTCCTCCTCCTCCTCCTTCTCCCTCCTCCTCCTCCTCCTCCTCCTCCTCCTCCTTATCCTGCTCCTCCTCCTCCTTGTCCTCCTCCATGTCCTCCTCCTTTTACTCCTCCTTTTACTCCTCCTCCTCCTCCTCCTCCTCCTCCTCCTCCTCCTCCTCCTTTCCTCCTCCTCCTCCTCGTCCTCCTCCTCCTCCTCTTCCTCCTCCTCATTCTCCTCCTTCTGTTCCTCCTCCTGTTCCTCCTCGTCCTCCTCCTCCTCTTCCTCCTCCTCCTCCTCCTCGTCCTCCTCCTTCTCCTCTTCATCCTCCTCCCTCTCCTCCCCCTCCTCCTACTACTACTACTACTACTACTCCTCCTCCTCTCCTTCTGCATACTATGATGGTTCCCCTCCTTTCTGGGAGAAGGAAGGGGTTAAAAACACGTGGATGTGTATTGTTGTTCTCCTCTGACCGGCCTCCTGGGTGTCGTATCGAATAAATGAAGTAACTCACAATTCGTATGTGTAGGTGCTAAGATTGAATGACTAACAAATGCCTCGAATCAAATATGGATAAGTCAACCCTTCCACGGCTAAACGTGGGCTATTTGTTCAGCATCCCAAACAATATAGAGCATGCAGCCACGCGCAGAAAACTCGAGCACTGAAGATGAAGACGGACATGCAACTCTAGGCGTGCGAGCAAACATCAGCAACAAAAGAGGGCACGGTACCATGAACGCTGCGTAACACTCCACTCTGAGCCTCGGCCTCCCGTGTCTCGAAGTCGCCATCGGGGCTATCATCCTCGAAAAACGGAATAACGGGGGGCCCGCCCGACATCGTCGTCCGTGGGGTCCAACAAGTCCTTCTTCATGATGGTTTCTTCTTGGCGGAAGTGAAACACGGGTCCTGCACGAAGGCCCACTTCAGATTACTTTAGAAATCCAATGTAACCTACAAAGCCGGCGCCTCCAATTTTGCCGGTCCGCCCGCGATCATCGCCTCGGAGTGCGCCCACTTCAGGGTCGTTCGAGCGGCGACCATGCGCTGTCTCAGCGCCAAGGCGTCGATCGCCGAGCGCTGGTCGTTACGTTCGTACCCCGAGGAGCATGATCTGCCCACGCTGGCGTATATGGCTTTGCAGTCGGTGACGAAGGTGACGGGGATCTGCTTGATGCAGGCGTCGATCTCGCGATGCAGGATTCGGCGTCTGAGGTCATCTCGTACCAGGCCAATCTCGCATACCCTTGAGCTTCGTTCACCACGGTGCCCATATGGATCTCCGCGCTGAGAGTTCCTTGCCACTCGGGGTAACTTTCGTGAGGCTCCTTCACTGACGGACAGGTGAATCAGCTGGCCACCAAGTATCTTCTCTCCACCATTACCATGATCATGCCTCCTTGAAATCCTGCTGGTTATCGAACTTTCCACGCAGCGTCATGCCACGTGAAAAGCACGGGGTCGCCCGTAGGCTGGAAGGAGATGGTGATCCAGGCGGTCTCGTGCGCAGCGCGCGCCAGCTTGTTGATCCTCTTGAGTGTCGCCATCGTTCCCGTCGGCACTTCGCCCCCCGGAGATGCTCGTGTCTCCGGCCAACCACGTCACACCTTGCGATGCCAGGAACATCGCCCTGGTTCCACAGTCGAATCCCCTTTCTGCGTTGTTTTAAGATTATGCGTTATCTTATTGTGTTGCAAGGGGGGGAGGGTGTTCGACCTCTGGTCCGAATCGTATCCGTTTTCTCGTGCTTTGCTGATATGCCCAGGGGTTGGCCTGTGGCTTCGGTGCGTGACGTCGAGAGCGGGGCGTCGCCGCGCCGTTGGTCAGACTTTCGATTGTGCGGGCCTCGCAGAAACTCGCTCGTGATCGCAAAGAGCAGGGATCGCAGGTTCCCCTCTTCATCGCTGGTGCTGTTTTTTTGTTTTGGGGGATAACGTAAGAAGAGGACAAATAAAAACTCCCCCCGGCCCTCCTGCGTGGGGCAATGGTTTTGAACAGACCACTGCGGTCGCGACCTTCTATCCTGCCCCCCCCTCGCTTCTCTCCTCCCTCATGCCTATTACCTCGCTCCCTCCTGCGCGCCAGCTCGCCTCCTACCTGGTCATCTCGGCGGGGCTGCGCCTACCTCGCCATCTCTGGAGGATGCGATCTGCGAGGTCGTCGCCACTTTCGAAGGCGGCCGGGGGGTTCAGCGGAGTCAGGCACCACCCAGATTCAGATTAGACTTCGCCATCCCTGCGGGGGTGCGATCTGCGGAACCGTCGCCATTTTCGAGGGCTGCTGGGAGGTCTGGCGGACTGACGCACCACCCAGATCCAGATCAGACCTCGCCATCCCTGGAGGGCTGCGATATGCAAATCTGTCGCCGCATTCGAGGGCCGCTGGGGGGCGACAGTCGCCAGGCGGCGAACGACCAGTGACCAGAGGGCTCATCGGAACACCAGATGCACTACGTCGGCGGGCGAGAGTCGGCTCGCCCGCCCCCGAGCGGCGCGGAAGGCGGGCGACGCCTTCCCCCCCCCCCAACGCGCGTAGCGCAGAACGAACTGCCCCTCCCCCCCCCTTCGGGGATGGACAGGCCCCCCTTTAGTAAAACGTGGTTTAGTGAAAACGACCTGAGGCCCAAACCTGGCGGGCGCAAGCCTGGAAAATAACGGCCACGGCGCCCTCTCGAGAACCGAAAACGGACAATGCACTAATCGACGTGTCTCTGTTGGGGGTTCTGTCCCCCCCCCCCCTCTGGGGCGAAATCGGATCGCACGGTCGTCGAGGAGGGCGCCCGGGACTCCACAGACGGAACATCCACCTTCGGAGCTGCCAGGAGGGTCTGCGGCGCCCGACCAATCGAGGACTTCCTCCTCCTCCTCTGCGCACAGATCCCGTGTCAAGGAACCACGCGATCGGAGCCTCCGAGGCCGCGATCTGCCGTGGCACATGCAGGGCCCTCGCCTCCGACGCACCCACGCGCTCCCCAGCGACGCTCCAGCGACGCCCAAGTGCTCCCGAGCACTCCCCAGGCTTGTGGGTGCCACGACAGTGGACAACCCTAACAGTCCTATCCTTGAATTTAACCTGTGCGTAACATGTCGGAAACAATATTCTGGAAATATTCAAAACTTGTTGGTTACATGTTTTAAACAGTTGTAGCACATTGTCTAGACATCTGGAAATGACTTGGCAACATGCTTCCTCAAGGGCTCCCAACTTCGCGCTTTGCGCTGCGCGAAGCGCGAATAACTTCGCGCTCTCGCGCCGCCTCCCAGGGGAGAAGAGGAGGACGAGGAGGAACCGGAGCCGAAGCGCGAAGCGCGAACAACTTCGCGCCCTCGAGGGCGCCCTTGTCTAAACAGTTGTCGCACACTGTCTAGACATCTGGAAATCATCTGGCAACATTAGGGAGCCACCTGCGAACCCTACCCCTGCCCCCCACGAGTTCTGAGGGGGAGGGGGGGTTCACTTCGCTCGGGAGCTCTGGAGCGAAGTGAACCCCGCCCTCCCCCTTAGAAATCGTGGGGGCAGGGGTTAGGGTTCGCCTGTGGCCCCCTATCCTGAGGCCTTCCGGGGATTCCTGGGACCTCCTGGGTACAGTCGACTCGCATAGCAAGGACGGGCAACCTTCCCAAGGGTACCCTTGCATCCTTCCCTTCTCGGCCCATCCAGGTGGCTCCCCTAAACGTGCTTCCTCCCCAGCGATCGCCCTCCACAGTCCCCAAGCGGACACGAGCTCTTCGCGGGCGGCTCCGGGCGCCCCCCAGGCACTCCCGGGCGCCCTCCAGGCGCCCTCCAGGCGCGCTCGGGCGCCTGCCATCTCCCCGGGCGTTCCCAGGCGCCCCGGGAGCGCCCGAGCGCTCCTCGGCGGCGCCCCCAGGCGCTCCCCCGGCAGCATCGGGCGCTCCCCGGCGCGCCCAACGGTCCCCCAGGCGCTCCCAGGCGCTCCAGGAGCGCCCAAACGCCTCCAGGCGGGGCGCAGGCGCTCCCCGGGCGGCCCCCAGGCGCCCCAGACGCAAAACGCCCAAGCGCTCCACGGCAGCCCCAGGCACTCGCCACGCGGCCCCAGGCGCTCCCAGACGCCCGAGATGCTCCCAGGCACCACCAAATCCAGGGCGCCTCGGCGGCCGCGGGCGCCCCCAGGAGTTCCCGCATGGTTCCCAGCGGTCTTGGACGGTCCAGGAGCGCCCAGGCGCTCCCAAGCGGTCGCCGTCAGGCGTTCTCGGCCGCCGCCCAAACGTTGCTCGAACGTTCCTGAAGCGTCTCCAGGGGCTCCCAGACGCCATCAGGCGCTCCCAGACGTTCCAGGAATGCCCAAACGCTGCCAAGAGGCTTCGGGGAACTTCAGGAGGCTTCAGGACGTCTCAGGGAATCCCAGGGAGCTTCAGGGAGCACCATGGAGCCCCAAGGAAAACCCAAGAGGCCCCGGGAAACCGCCAGGAAGCCTCAGCAAACCTAAGGAAACACCCAGGAAACACCCAGAAAACGCCCAGGAAGTTCCCAGGACTCCTCAGGAAGCGCCCAGGTAGCCTCAGGAAGCCACACGGGCACCAGGGAACCCCAGGGGGGTTCAGGAAGCCACGGGAAGTTCCAGGAAACTCCAGGTGGCCTTGGGAAGCCCCATGAGGTTCCAGGATGCCCCAGAACGCCGCAGGGGGGCCACAAGGGCCCCCAGGAAGCCCACGAGAGCTCCCAGGAAGCCCCAAATGGTTCGGCCTGACGGACCCCAAGAAAACCATTACATTTCTTCTCACGCAAAGGCCCCCGCCCACCCCCCGCGCGGCGGCCCCGCACGCGCCTGCAGCGCGGCGCGACTGCGGCGCGTCCGCAGAGACATCCGCGCGCACGCGCGCGCCCAATCGCGCAGCGGAGCGCCACGATTTTCTCGGATCGAAACCGAGGTTGCCGCCGCTGCGACGCGCAAGCCCTCCTGCACGATCGAACGCTGCCAACTCGCGCAAGGAAGCCGCTTGGCACCGCGAGCCGACCCCCGAGCGCGAGTCCCCTGCTGCGCGCGCGCCACCCAGTCGCACGAGGAAGCGGTGTGGCGTCGTGCACCCCCGCGCGAATTTCGCGTGCGGAAGCCGCTGGCGACGCGACGCGCGCTTTCTCGCCCGTGCGTCTGAGCGCTGCCCGGTCGTGCGAAGATTCTGTCTAGCGACGGGCGCTGACCCCAGCGCGCACACCTGCGTTCCGGGTCGTTCATGCGACGCAAAGAGTCCTTGCCTGCCCGCGAGAGGGCCACGCAGTCGCGCGAGTCGACCCCCGCGCGAAAATCGCGCGGCGAGACCGCCGCCGATGCGACGCGCAAGTCGAGGAATCCATTTAAACTCTGTTCATGCTGACCCCCTACCCACCCTACGCTGGTGGTCGCGTTGCGATGCGTCCGCATGTGCGGCGTAGTTCGACCTTCGACGCTCGTCGTTCGTAATTCATCGTCGTTCGCCATTCGTCGTTCGTCGTCACTCGTCGTCCTGGTTACCAATCATTGATCTTCGTTCGTTGTTCGTCGTTCGTCGTTCGTCGTCATCGTTCGTTCGTCGTCCACCGTCCGCCGTTCGTCGTTCGTCGCCCGTTTCTAGTCGTCGTTCGTCGCTGGTCGTTCTCCACCGTCGTAGTTCCCCGATAATCGCGATACATCTGCTGGTAATGCGACGCATGTCACCGTCCCCCTATTCAAAGGGGCCGCCGGGGTGGAGGCGGGGGAGCGCCCTCTCGGGAACAACGGAAGCAGGGTGGGGGGCTGGGACACAAGCATCGCGAGCGCGCACCAACGCATCCCAGCCCGAACGATCCTGTCGAGGGCGCGGGATGCGCGCGCGCATTCTCGCAAGCATTCTCTCTCTCTCTCTCGTTCTCTCTCTCTCGCTCTGTCTTTGTTGTTAGTTTTTTATTTTCTCTCTCTCTCTCTCTCTTTCTTTCTCTCTCTCCCTCTCTCTCTCTCTCTCTCTCTTCCTCTCTCTCGCTCTCTTCCTCTCTTTCTCTCATTGTGTCGATGTGTTTATCTCTGTATTGTTTTTCCTCTCTTTCTCTCTCACTCTCTCTCTCGTTATCTCTCTCTCTCTCTCTCTATCTATATATAGTTTCATTTCTTTATCTCTCTCTCTCTCTCTCGTTGTCTCTATGTATCTCTCTCTCTCTCTTTCTTTCCGTCCCTCCCTCACTCTCCCTTTCTCTCTCTCTCTCTCTCCGTATAGTGTTGTTGGTTATCTCTCTCATGTTTTGTTTTGTTATCTCTCTCTCTCTCTCTGTATATATATATATGTATAGATATATATATACATATATATGTATATATATATATATCGTTAGCCTTTTTTTGTTATCTCTCTCTCTCTCTCTCTTTCTCTCTCTGTTTGTTTTGTTTCTCTATGTCTCGCTCTCTCTCTCTCTCTCTCTTTTTTCTCTCTCTCTCTCTCTCCCTCTCTCTGTCTATGACAATGTTTCATCATCCGAGATGTGTAGCTCGGCGCTCGTCAGGGATGTGAACGTCAAAGAGAATCGAATCCTCGCCCAGCAGGCCTACCGATTCCGTGGCCCTGCTTGGGGGCACAAAAGCCGGGGGCGCCAGCGTGACGGCTACCAGCGAGATGCAACCACAGACAAGGACAGGCAAAAGCAGCGAACAGCGGCCGCCCAACTGAACTGTGAACCTGTCGTCCACGACCATGGCGGAGTGGCCAAGATCCTCGGTGTAAAAATGTCTTGGAGGCGCGCAGAAGGGGGTAGGGGAAAAGAAAAGGCGTCTTAGAAAGAGTCTTCTTTTTAGAAGGCGCGGGCCTTACATCCATAGACAAAGCCCGCCCCCTCTAAAAAGTAGGGCGAGACTAAGAAGCTTTATCCCTCCCCCTACCTCCCTCTGCGCCTGGCTGGGTGTCGTAAAATGCGAGCAAACCAACTCTGCGGCCTTGCTTCCCCTCCCCGCCCTCCTGCTACAGTCGGGACGCTGACCTAAGGAGCCCTACATAAGGAACGAGGCACCTTTTTCCCAAACGTTGAACTCCGTTTTTCCCATGGACAACCTCGAGGAAACCCAACGCAAACTGCACAACAAACAAGGAACACCAAGCCCCTCCCCAAGGAAAAGGGTTCCTTCTTCAGCGCCCCGAAATATGTTGATTCCTCGACGAGAAAGGCCTGAGAAAGTGGCCTCTCAGGACTGCACCCCCCCATCGGCAGACCCAGGCTGGCGGCGCGACCCGCGGCGTCCTGCCAGCCAGCAGGAACTCCGAGAGCGCGTAGAGGAAGCCGACCTGCGGGGCTGCGGGGAGGGGCTGCGAGGGGATCGAGACATCGAGGATCGAGGGCTCGGGGATGGGGGGATCGAGGATCGAGGATGGCGGGAGGGGATCGAGGGATCGAAGGTTCGAGGGTCCGAGGATCCGAGGATGGAGGCTCGAAGGATCGAGGCTCGAGGGTTCGAGGGATCGACGGTTCGAGGATGGAGGGATCGAGGGTTCGATCGAGGATGAAGGTTCCTTTAGCATGTTCCGCCGCTTCCCGGGCCGTTTCGGGAGGCCCCCCTCCGCCACTGCTGGGATCTCCGCCTCGACACCCTGGCCAACCCCGCCCCGGGCCCCGCCGGCTCCAGGCAGCCCTGCGCTGCCCTGGCGTGGCGAGGGCGGGGGGGGTCGACGAGGAGGAGGAGGAGGAGGAGGAGGAGGAGGAGGAGGAGGAGGAGGAGGAGGAGGAGGAGGAGGAGTCACCACCACGGCACCCCGGAGTCCATCACCAAGGCGGCCAAGCGTTGGTTCATGCTCCCTAAGCTGCTGCTCGGGCACGCCAACCTCCGAGGCGGCAAGAGAGGCAACGCTCAGCTCACCACTACGCTGTTCCGCCGAGCCACGGAGATCAGGGAGCACCGCGAAGCACAGCTTTGGGGCGCCGTCCTTGACTCCGCCCCACCTCCTTTGCGCGCCAGGCGGAAGACAACCGCAGAGCACGACGTTATGACGGCGCGCAAACTCGTGGAGGCAGGCGCCGTGGGCAAAGCTACGAGAGTCCTCCGCGAAGCACTCGAAATTGCCGGAGACCAGTTGACCCTTCAAGCCGCACCGCAGCTCTTCCCACACCATCAACCACAGCCACCAGCAGCCTACGACGAACAGGACGACGAGCAGCAACAGTTCGAGCTACACTTCGCCAAAGCCTTGCGGGCCGCACCAAAACGAAGCGCAGCTGGGCCCGACGGGTGGCGGTACGAGCACTTCCAACTCGCCCCAACTGACCTATCCGCTCTGTGTGCCCTGGCCAGCGGCCGCAGCACTAGCCCGCGGCCCCCCCCCGCAGGAAGTGCAGGAACTGGCGACGGCCGCCCGCCTCCTCCCGCTCACCAAGAGCGCCACCCGAATCCGCCCCATCAACCTCGCCAGCCCGCTCCGCCGTCTCGCGTCCAAGGCGGCCAACAAAATGGCGGCGGACGAGGTCGCCGAGGGGCTTCGCGGCAAGCAGCGCGGGTACAAGCACGCGGCTGGGGCGGAACTGGTCCACGAGCACGTGTCCACTGCCCTCCGCGTCCGCCCGGGCTACGCCGCGCTCTCTGGACGCTGCAGGCGCCTTCCAGAACCTGAGCAGGGCGTACATCAACGAAGGTATCGACGCTCACTGCCCAAAACTCCGCCGATAGGCAAGAGGCTTCCTGCCGGACGCCGGGCAGGTAGTCTACCACGACACCGGGGGCAGAAGACGCATTTGGAACCAAACAACAGGTATCTTCCAAGGGTGCGGCATGGCCACCACGCTCTTCTGCCTCGGACTCGACCGAGCCCTCGAGAGGGCCAAACACCAACTCGACGCAGCAGGTATACAGCACGAGCTTTTCGGCTACATCGACGACCTCACCATCCTTGCGAAGCCTGAAGACCTGCCCACCATATACGCAGCCTACATCAACCCACTGAGCCAAGCCGGCCTCCAAACACGCGTCGACAAATGTGAGGTGCGGGCGAGGAATCCTGCCGCGATGCCAGCGGGCCTGCCCGTGCCGCGAGTAGAGCAGCCCACGATCTTACGACAACACGCCGACGACTACTCCGGCCTGGCACCGACGCCGGCAACCGCCGACCAGCGCGCCGAGCAGGGCAGCCTGCACTCACCCGCCTCACCGCGACCACAACGCCAACGAACCAGGAGGGCGACTGCCATGGCCAGACTCATGCGCCTTCACAAAGCCGGCCTAGACGTTCAGACGTCTTTGGTACTACTACGAACCCTCACTGCAGGAGACATGACGCGGCACATGAGCACCACCGGGGTCCCCTCCCAAACTTCGACACAGCTCGACGCCGACCTACTCAGCACACTGGAGGAGCTAGTGCAAACGCACGACCTCACAGCGGAGCAGAAAGATAAATACTGGCACCCTGTCGCTTTGGGCGGCTTGGGATTCCAGAGCGCGAGCGCAGCGCGCCTGGATGCTCGGGCGGCCTCGCGGGCGCTCTGCGAGAAGCCAGTGCTCCAGCGACTGGGCCTCCGCGACAGAGACGACCTTCTCCACTATTGCCCGGGCTTGAGACCGGCGCCCCACCGCCCCCAGAGCAGCGTCAACGCGCTGACACAGGAAGAGGCATCGCAGCAGGCGCCCGACACGGAGCCGCCCGACACCACCCAGCGGCGCTTTACCAGGCACAGGCGGCGCGCAGAGTGGACGCAGCGGCTACGACGCACCCAGACGGAACCGCGCCAAAGGGCCTGGGCTCCTAGCACGACAGGCAAGGGGGCAGGCGCGCGGCTCGGGCCGCCCACGCGGCCCGACCACCACCTCGCTGACGCCCACTTCAGGATGGCCGTGAGACACAGACTCGGAGGTCTCGCGCGCGCAGCTGACGGCCCCTGCCCCTTCAGAAAGGAGGACGGAACCCTCTGCGCCGGCACCGTCGACGCTAACGGACGCCACGCGCTTTGCTGCTCCTATGGCGGCTTCATGGTTAAGAGGCACAACAACCTGCGCGACACCATCGCGCGAGCCCTGCGTGAAGCCGGCATTTGCGACATCGCAGTCGAGCCATGGATTCGCCAGCCCACCGGGCCGGGCAATCCGGGCCCCCGCGCGGACCTCAGGTGCGCCGACAGCGACGGCCAGCGGGCTTATCTTGACTTAACGATCGCGCATCCCGCCTCGCAGCAGAGCCTGCAGGCCGGAGGGGCCCACGCCCAAGGCGCCGCTGCGAGACTGGCCGAACAGGCCAATCGCCGCAAATACAACGGAGTCGCTGGTTTCCAGCCCCTCGGCTTCGAAGCGTCGGGAGCCATGGGCGAGTCCACTGGGAAATGGCTCGCGCAGCAAGTGCCCGAGGGCCCTGGGCGACTGGAGACTCTCAGCACTCTCCACCGGTCCATCGCCACCTGCGTGGTCCGGGAGGTGGCGCGCGCGCTCATCAGCGCTGCCCGAGATGGTCGTCGGGCCAGCCAGCGCGCCTAACGCAGGGGCCTGGTGGCTCACGCCCCTGGGCCCGGAAACAGCGGCCTTGCACGACGACGGCGCCAGCGCGAAGGCAGCGCTGCTGCAGAAGGACGCACGAGGACAGCACTAGCACGAGGACAGCGCGAGGACAGCACTAGCACGAGGACAGCACCAGCACAAGGACAGCACCAGCACGAGGACAGCACTAGCACGAGGAGGGGAAGGGGCGCCGAGGAGGCGCGCCGAGGAGGAGCGGCGAGGCCAAAGAAGAGGAACGCCGAGGAGGAGCGCCGAGGGGGGGCGGCGGGGGCGGGCGGCGGCGGCGGCGGCCGGGAGCGGCGGCGGGCGGCTCCAGCGGGGCGGCGGACGGACCGGGGGCGAAGGGAGGAGCGGCGCCAGGCCCCGCGGCGGCGGGCGCGGGCGCGGGGCGCGGGCGCGCGGCGCGGCCCGCGGCGCGCGCGGCCCGCCCCAGGGCCCCCCTCGGACCCGAGGGCCCTGGGGCACGGAGGACGAGGGGGAGGAGGAGGAGGAGGAGGAGGAGGAGGAGGAGGAGGAGGAGGAGGAGGAGGAGAGGAGGAGGAGGAGGAGGAGGAGGGAGGAGGAGGAGGAGGAGGAGGAGGAGGAGGAGGAGGAGGAGGAGGAGGAGGAGGGAGGAGGAGGAGGGAGGAGGAGGAGGAGGAGGAGGAGAGGGGAGGAGGAGGAGGAGGAGGAGGAGGGAGGGAGGAGGAGGAGGAGGAGGCGGAGGAGGAGGAGGAGGACGACGAGGCGGAGGAGGAGGAGGAGGAGGTTGTTCAACGCGGGGTTTGGGGTTCACCGTGTTCCGTCCTGGGAGGCCTGGACGGGCGGCGCGCACGCCGCTTGCGCCACCGTCCCGACCTCAAAAGGAAAAGGCAGGCACCCCCTCTGGAGGGAGAAAAGACCCTCGAAGGATGCCTGTGCCTCCTGAAGTCCAGGGGGGTTCTTCTGGCGTGCTCGGCAGCACGTCGGGCCTGTCGGATGGCCCTGGCACGAGCACGGTTGGCCGCGATCCTGGCCAGCTGATCGGAGGACAGGGGAAGAGGAGCAGGAGGAGGCGGAGGCAAGGAAATGGGAGGAGAGGGGGGGATCAGCGGCCAGGTCGCGGCCTGCTCCCCTGGCGAGCCAAGAGGAAGATCGGCCACCGACTGTTCCGCCTCAGCTTCTTCGCAACCATCAAGGAGGGGCGAAAACAGCACATCCGTGGCAGCACGATCCTGAACTGTACTCACCTCATGCTCAGGCCCAGAGTCAGCGTCAACAGAAAAACTGTTTCGGGGTCGCATCTCTTGCAACCCCGAGACGCGAAACCTGCAAAGTCGGGCGCAAAAACTGTTTCCTCAGGAGCGAGGCGAATTTCTGATCTCCTCGAGATCTGACGGATACTCCGCTAGATCGGCAACATTCACGGGGGAGGGAATCTCAACTGAGGGGAAGAAGTAAGTAACGCTGTCAACTATGGCCGTAGCCAGTGCTTTGCACAGGCCCGGTGGGTGCGTCTTCTTGCTGGCCGTCAGAAACTGGCCAGCTTGATTTCTCCCTGGAAGAACCTTGTGGGCCAGGCGCCCGTGAGAGCACCTCCCTTCACCTGGAGCGGCTCTCAGCAGCGAGGACAGAGACTCAATTCTGAAAGACGGGGTGGCGGTGGGAGCGCGACCCACTGCGCTGGGCCCAGCCTCGGGATTCCGATGCTCGCGCGGGTCAAACGCGGCGAGCGACGCACAATGGGGGAGCCGCCCGGGCCCGCGGAGGCCTCCACGCGGAAAGAGGTCGGGGCCCGCGGGGCCCGCGTTGGGGCAGCGGGGTGCTATAACCAACCACCTGCGCTCGCCCTCGGACGCTCCCCCAGGAGCCGTACCAGAGAGCGCAGCAGCGGCGGCGAGCCGATGCGCAGCTGCTCCGATTGCCTCCGAGAAACCCAAGGCATACCCCGCACATGCACTGCACTCCCGAGTGGGAGGGGGGGGCCTCGCGCCATCGAGACGCTGGCCACGTCTCGCATGGGGGGTGCCCTCCCGCATTGATGACTCTGTGGCATCTGATGTGCTCGATCCATTCGAGCAGAGTGTCCTCGGGCAATGTACCCGTCGATTTTGTCGTCTGGGATGGCAGGGCCGGTTTCGAGGAGAATCTGGTGGGCTTCTCGATGAGAGAGAGGCCAAGCTAGATCGTCCATGTGTGAGTGCCGAACGAGCCCTCTCTCTCTAGCTGCTGGAAGCTCCGTGCGCCATCGGCCTTGACCAGTCGTTCGTTGCGCTCGAAGCCCAGCCTCTCCCTCGCACTGCAACTGCTTGGCCACGGCAACTGAACATTGCGGCCCCGCAATGATGAGGCCGATCGCACACTTCAAAGCATCCAGACCAACCTGCGCCGTGAGAGCGCAAGCAAGTGTCGCAACGTAAGCTGGGCCCCTGGAAGTCTCGAGCGAAAGCAACCTCGGAGTGATGAACCCGACCGACATGCGTCCGAAGTCCTCGAACCCGGGAAAAAAAAGGCTGCGCCACGTGCACCTGAAAACTTTAGCTTCTTCCGACTCCTGGACTCTGAGACGGCGACGCTTGTCACCCCAGGCTGGCCCGCTATCTCTAGAACTTGAAAATATGCTCTTCAACTGCGCGTGCCAACTCAACTCGCTGAAGCTGCCTAACATGAGCTCCCAGTGCTTGCCTGATAGTTTGTTTCCATGATGTTGGTGCTTTGCATGCCTCGAGCCCCCAAACAGCCAGGTTTTCTTCGGGGTCGGGGAGATCTTGAAACCGTCGAGCATGTAACCGCAGCAACCGGAGATCCTCGATAACCACGTCGCCCCAAGACCTCCCCATGGCCAACGGGGCCAGACGAACGAGAGCCATGATACGTGGCAGTCCCTCTCGGAGTAGGCGGCCAAAGAGGCGAAGCATGTGAGCCGATAACATCGCAGACAATGGAGGACGACCTCCTCTAGCAATAACTGCTTCATTGGGCGCTGCATGCCCCTTCGCACGCGGCAGGCGGGCGATGGTGCGAGAATATCGAAGCAGCCCGTCCGGCCGGCAGTTGCACTGAGCTGCAGTAGGAAACCCACGTACTGGATTGTTATGAACGCCCAGAGCAGACGAGAGAATCGATCAAGACAAGGGCAACCAGCTGCTCAATCGCGCGGCATGCTTGAAAAGTCTTGCTCATAAGCACTTTCCCGTGCCGACTGCAACATTGAGGACGATGCGCCAACTCAGGCCCCATTGAGGCCGACATGTCGCGCTCGGTGCCGAGATGGGTGCACTCTTGAACACGATGCAACGAAACCTCGCCGAGAGTGCTCGCGCACGTGTGAATGGCTTTGCACATGTCCTGGGCCAGGGTGCGCTTAGCTTTGCGGGAAGAAGGGCCGCAACGCTGGAACAGGAAGGCAGACGCGCCTGGCTCAACGAAACGAGACCAAGAGAAATGCAATATTCAATGACCATTGCGGCGATGAACGGAACCTGCGCAAATAAAATACTGGCCCTGCCAGCAAAGCAAAACAACGAGTCGTCAAAGAAAGCTCCGCCCATGGCGCGGCACAAGGGCACTGGCATGTTGCCCTCCGCCTCTGACTCGGCATAAGATGCACGCGAAGAGACATCATGCGAGGGCAATTGGAGGCCGACGCCTAACTCCAAGAGGATCTCTTGAGCTTTGGCCATGATTTGTAACATCGCGAGGTTGAACACCATATCCCCCAAGTGTTGACCAGGCCCCACTCCCAGGGACGGAAACGCAACCCCTCCGTCGTTGATACAAAACCAAGACTGCTCATGGGCGTCTGAAACTTGCCCACGGCGACAAGCCGAACCCCCAGCTTGTTCCATGATTGGAACGCGTGCTTGAATGTAGTTGGCCAGCTCTCGAGTCGTCTCTGGTGGCAGCCCGCAAAATTTCAGTAGCTTGGCTACAGCTTCATCGTCGGCAGATGCACGAAAAAACAAATTCTCGAACCGATTTGTAGCAGACCTGGACCGCATCGGTGGAAAGCATCATGACCGACTGGTTGTGTGCCGAAGTTAGCTGTTGGAATACTCTAAGCTCTAGAGCAGAGAACTCGGTACCCCTACCCGATAGACCTCGAAACTCTAAACTGACCATTTCCAGCAGGGAACTTGAGCTGGGTGACTGCGCTAGCACGTGTGAGAAAACGAAATCGCTTCCCAACCTGCGAAGACCCCAGATAGACCGGTAGTTTTTGACGTTGGACAGGACCCCAGCTTTGAATCAGCTCCAGTAGAATCCGAGCCCTCCTTTTCGTTGAATAGGTTCGCAAATTCCCACCGTGCTCCTGACGTGCAGTGGTGATAAACTTGCCAAGCTGGATGGCAAACTTCTCGGGCACCGCTCCTGCGACGCCGTCGAGCCCCGCCGCAGAGTCCGCGGCATGCCAAAACGAATGCTGCGCAACACTCAGAGACATTACGTTCTCCATGGAAATTATGACGTCGCGCGCAACAGAATGATCTAGCTGCGGCACAGACTCCAAGACCCAAGGCATGTCGGCATGAGGAACGACTGGAGCAGCTTCCTCTCCATTAAAGTGCTGGAGCCAAACATCAGCGATTTCGACGCGCCATCTGAGCGGCTTGTCGTTGAGCCCGAAGAGGTATAGATCACCGGGGGCCTTGGCTACCCTAGGCCCTACCCAAGGCCCTAGGCTTCCCAGGGGTAGGCCCTACCCGAGGCCCTAGGCTTCCCAAGGGTAGGCCCTACCCAAGGCCCTAGGCTTCCCAAGGGTAGGCCCTACCCAAGGCCCTAGGCTTCCCAAGGGCAGGCCCTGCCCAAGGCCCTAGGCTTCCCAAGGGTAGGCCCTACCCGAGGCCCTAGGCTTCCCAAGGGGTAGCCCTAGGGTAGCCCTAGGGGTGGGCCCCAGGGGTAGCCGGACCCCTTTGTAGCGGGAATCCGAGCCGGCAGCATCCCTCCCCCCTCCTCCCTCCTCCCTCCGCACGCCTCCTCCCTCCTCCCTCCTCACTCCGTCCGCCCGCCTCCTCCCTCCCCCCTGCTCCCGCCGCCTCCTCCTCCTCCGCCGCCACCTCCTCCTCCTCCTCCTCCTCCTCCTCCTCCTCCTCCTCCACCTCCTCCTCCTCCCTCGCTACTCCCTCGATCCCC